ACAGAAATGGACAGACAGATGGAAACTGAGACCGAGAAGGATGGACAAGAGAGAGAAAAGAAAGTGATAGTGGCGGGGAAATGAGGCGAGAAGGTTGCTGCATGGGAAGTGGAAAGAAGGAAGAAGAATCGGGCTTAGAGGGAAGGGGGAAGACAGCAACGAAGGAGGAAATGAGTTGAAAATTAAAAGGTCAAACAAAGTGAAACAGAGACTTGGCAGGTGCAGAGGTGGAAGTCGGTCTCCTGACACCCCATTTCCCATCCCCCTAACCTTTGCGTCCCTGAGCAGGGCTGTGACTTTCCCCATGACTCTCAACTGCCCTTCAGGACAGGTCTGGGGGTGGGGCATAAGGTCTTTGGGTTCAGATTTCTATTACATGGAGTTAAACAAACCTTTTAAATCCCATGGCCCCCAGGGACGGCAGAGGCTAGAGTCAAAGGCATCTGCAAGGGGCGGGGCTGGGAGGAGAAGCTGGACAGAGATCTGAGACCCTGCGGAGGGGACCTGGCAATGGGAGCAGGTTGACACGCAGCCTGGGGAGGGTGCTCAGGGCTGCAAGGAGGACAGAGCGGCCTCAGGGAAGCAGGCAGCCCCCGGACCCTGCGGGGAGCAGCAGGGAGGGAAGGAGTGGCCTCTCCCAGGTGTGCAGCACGGGCAGGAAGGGCTGGGGCTGCAAGAGGGGGGTGTCTTCAGCCGACCAGACTCCAGAAGGGATAGTTGAGAAGGGCTCCTCTCTGCCCTGGGCATAGGCTTCCTGGGTTTGAGAGCTGTGGCAGGAGGGGACAAGAGATGAAGAATGACATCTATCCCAGCCCTCCTCTAAATTCCCCAAGGGAAAAGGTGGCTGGCTTTGCCTTTCCCAGGCCCCCAGCCCCCTCTTTGCTCTCCCACCTAAGCAGCTTTAGCTAATAGCATTAAGGGAGGCCTTAGGACTAACCAGCCTCCTAAAGAGGCCAAGATCAAGGCAAGAGACCAGAGGCGTCTAATCAGATTGGGGATTCGGTGAAGTGGTGTGGGATGTACAGCTTGCCCAATGCTGACAAGGATAAAATGTCCCCCTGGAGACCACCATCAGTGTGTTTCCCACTGTCGCCCTTCTGGACTGGTTTCTCCACTCTGATCTTTCAGTCTCCCAGGGCCATATCTGAACCTTACCTGTGTCCACAGCTCCCGATTTCTGCCTGGCTGTTTCTGTTTCATTCTCTTGGATTCACTCTCTTGCTCTTTCTCTTTTGACCACCTCTGTGTATACAAACAGTCTCATTTTCCCCAGTGAATCAATCAAGCAGTCACTGAGAAGACTTGGTTGTGTCCAGTCAATCAGATCATACAGTCAATCCACTCCAGCCTCTTAGAAGGCCCATCAACCAAGTGACTGAATGCAAGCTTCGACTTTGCAGAGATGCACATGGGTCTTGAACTCCCAAACTTATTTTTTTTTTAATTCTGGGTGTGTGTTCCTGTCTTTCTCATCCTCTCTGTATTCCACTCTGCCCTTCTGACTGTCTGTCCTCTGGCTTCCTGGGACCTCCACTGACCATTTTTCTGGCAAGGAGCCCACCACCCCTTAGGTTTAGAATGGAGTGCCTCCTTCAGGGCACAGGGCCTCCTGCCAGCCCATCTTCTCCTGGAATTTTACCCTCAACCTTTCTGCCCGATTGACTGATTATAGCTCAAAGCATCAAGTCAGGCAGACCTGTTCCCATCTGACTCCACCATTTGCCCTGGGGAGCTTATGCAAGTCCTCAATTTCCTAGCTTGCAAAATGGAGATAATAATATTCACCTCAAAGGGTTATTGTGAACATCCAGTGAAGTAACATGAAAAAAAAATGTCAGGCCCAGTACTGGGACATGACAGGGACTCAACTGGTATTAGCTATTCATGTAAGTTCTTCTATGAATTTATAAGAAGTCTTAAAAAGGCAAAATCTGCTTTGGACATTTCCTTTGACTCCAAGCTTAAGGCTTCTTCGTTACTGTTATCACCATTATCCATTATTAAATAATGACCTCAAACCTCTGTGTGTTGTTATGAGCACTAGTAGTGGCCAAGGGGGATTAATCATATTATTAGTAATCAGAATGACAGTAATGATGACAATAATAATGGCTTGCTGCTATAACCCTTCAAGAAACACAAAATGCTTAAGAGCAGCCACTCCTGTCATTCCAGATTGGGTTATGATCCTTTTTGATTTATGGTTCTCAATACTTCCTCTTAGGTCGCAGCACTGATCTCACTGTAGGGGCACCAGGGGCTGGGCAGAGCCTGTTGGCGCCACCCCAAGCTTTGTGTGTGTGTCTCACAGCACAGAAGGGAGGGAACTGAGGGCCTGGGGTGAGGGGTTGGGGAGACAGACGGAGCCACCTCCCTCAGCCGTGGGAGTATCACCACCAGAGTGGGGGTTAAGATGAAGCACAAAGCATTGAGGTTAAACACCAACAGTTCTTGGCCGTAAAGGGAGAACTCATATCTGCTCATTTCTTTGGGTCCCCACGGGCAGCTCAGGGCTCCAGCAGAGCAAGGATTGCGGGGGAGGCGTTTGGCAGGACTTGCCAGCTGTGAGGATTCCCACATCTGGAACCAGCAAGCTCCTCAAAGACGTGAGGGTCCAGGAGGGACTCTCACAAACACTGGAGAGGCCAGGAAATGCACAGGGGACTGGGTGGGTTAGGGAAGCTTAACCTCCCTGACTGGTTTCTGTATTTTGGGGAGAAGGAGAGAGGGTGTTGATAGAATATTATAAATCTTGAATTGAGGTCTCACTTTCCACTCTTACTTCAGAGTTGTATGACCTTAGAGAGGTCATTCAGCACTCTGAGCTCCATCTCATCTGAGACTTCTGGGAGGTTCAGGGTATGGCAATTGCTTGGCACAGGGCGGGCTCGCTGAATGTCGGCTCCATGGTGGATTTAGCATTCTCTGCTGGCCAGATCTTAAATGTCCGTTCATCTGGTCTCAGATCTCCAGGAAACACCATCAGAACTCCTACCAGCTTCCTGGGCACCACAGTCTCCCTGCCATCTCGTGTGTCTGCACTCCACACCCCCATCTTCCAATCCGATTCCCTGAGGTGAGGTAGGAGAGACCCCATTCTGCTTGAGGCTAGACAAAAGAAGAAATTCCCAATGGACAGGGCAGGAAAGGTGGGTGGGAGAGGAGCGGGGGGCACCTACATCAGGGGAAGAAAAAGAGAAGATTCCAGAATGTCAGCTGCCAGTTTGGAGACAGAGGGATGAGTGGGAAAACCTACTCACCCAGACTCAGCGTAGGCATGGACCTGCCACTGCCCTGTCTACCTTAATTTCCAGAGGTGCTCTCCCCTCAGGCCAGACCGGGTACCCCAGGGAGCATCACCCTGGCCAGGATCTCTGTCAGTTGACCCCCCTGGAGCTGAATGTCCCTGGGAAAGGGAGGGCAAGAGACCCAGTGACCTCTTGGGGAGAGGGCGGCAAGGGCAGGGAGGGTTAGCCCGGGAGGGGTGCGGCATTGACACCCCGTTTTGCTGTATCCCATGCGTTCTTGCTCCTCCAAGCACTGTCCCTGGACCAGCACTGACATCACCTGGGAGCTTGTTAGAAATGCAGGATCTCAGTTTCCACCAAGTCCCCCTGAATCGAAACCTGCATTTTAAAGAGATCTTCAGGCAATTGTTCTGCACGTTAGAGTTTAAGAAGTGCTGCTATAGATCATCTTTTTTTAAGTCATAAAACAACACAGTGCATGAAAAGGGGCTTTGGACTAGGAGTCGGCATCTGACAGCCAGACACCATGTGTCAAGTCACTTTCCCTCTCTGAGCCTCTTCTGGAAAGAGTGACGAGGCTCCTCCAGACAAACCCTCATATGCCCTCCAGACCTGATGGCCTTAAGGTTCTGGTTGAGCAAAGTGCTCACCTTCACACCAGCTTCATCAGAGATGCAGCCCAGAGCCCGGTTTCTGCAAGCCAGTCCCTGTTTTCACGTAGTCCTAAACACGCAGGTCATTGCCCTGTATGCCAGCCCACCTGGGAGCAGGACCCACACCCCACATCCCCATCTGTCCCCTATCTCCTTGGCTCCTCTTGCCTGGCGTCCCAGCTCCCCAGTGACAGTGGAAGCAGCCTTTGCACCATCCTCAGTTCCATCCGGAAGGCTCTGGGTTCTTAAGCATTTTCTCTCCTCCCTTTACCTGCAGGCCAGATGACTCCACTGGGGCCAATTCCCCTGTCTTCTCTGCATCTCCACTCCCAGCACCCACACCCAATTGAGAATGGGCAAGATTCCATCTTCCTGGCCCCTGGTTCATTAATTCCACAAGTATTTACAGAGCACCTGTGGGCACAAGGCTGTGCCAGGATGGCATCCGGGGGGCCAACAGTGCACAAGACAGCCGGGGTTCCTGACCTCATACAGCTGCCACTCTGAGGGGAAAGACAGATATGAAACATTTACTGATGCCATTGATAAATCCATTACCACTCACTCAGTCTTTCAACGATCGTTTCTCAGGCACCTACAACTCTGCTAGGCACTCAGGAGGCATCAGTGAAAAAGCACACAAAACCCCGGCTCTTCTCAAACGTAAAATTGCTCCAGCTCTATAAACGCCTGGTTTGTGTATCTGCCACCCCATCCCACTCGAGGGTTAGAAAAAGCCAGCAATTAATTACATTTTCTCTTGTCTTCTCTTGGGAAAAACTCCAATCCTGCTAAGCCCTGAGAAATCTCATTCTCAGTCTAAATCCCCCAGCTGGGCCAGAGCACAGGCCCCTGTGCCTTCCTCAGGAGAAGCTGGCCTGCCCTTAGTATGGGGGTGCTTCCTGCCTCGGATGCCACTCCCTGGCCTCAGTCTCCCTTTTCTCTCTTCTCCCTCCTCTCTCCCTCCTTCCCGCTTGGCCTCCCTTCTTGCTTCTTTCACCGCCCTCCCTCTCCCCACACCCCACACCCCTGTCCACCATCTTTCCTTCCTCAGTGGTAACCGTTTCCCCTCCAGACGCAGCCCTCGCTCAGGGTGACTATGCACTGCAGCTGCCTGGCCAGTGGCGTCCCTGCCACCCCTGGCAACTCCTGGATCTCAGGTGAGCCCCTGCCGGCCTCCACCCAGCTCCAGAGGGGTGGCCTGGGGGTCTCCAGGGTGGCCAGGTGGCACTCACTCTCCCCTGCCCGCCAGGCGTGGCCTTCCCCGACTGGGCCTACAAAGCCGAGTCCTCCCCCGGCTCCCGGCAGATCCAGCTGTGGCACTTCATCCTGGAGCTGCTGCAGAAGGAGGAGTTCCGCCATGTCATCGCCTGGCAGCAGGGAGAGTACGGGGAATTTGTCATCAAGGATCCAGATGAGGTGGCCCGCCTCTGGGGCCGCAGAAAGTGCAAACCACAGATGAACTATGACAAGCTCAGCCGGGCCCTCAGGTGAGCAGAGGCCACCAAGGTGGCCAGAGAGGGCAGAGTTTAAAGACAAGGGCTCTGGTTTCTGGCTCCTCTGCCCCCCCAAAGCTGGGGGAATGCCTTTGAGCATGGCAGGGTGCCAAGTGGTTCTCCAGAAGCAGCTCAGGTTAGCCTTGCTGGCATGGGGAGGGGCTCGTGGCTGGGTCTCTGCCTCCATTCCCGGCCCACTGGGCCAACTCTCTATTCTCAACCTCGGAATCTCCAGATATTACTACAATAAGAGGATCCTGCACAAGACCAAAGGCAAAAGATTCACTTACAAGTTCAACTTCAGCAAGCTCATCGTAGTCAACTATCCTCTGTGGGAGGTGTGGACACCGCCATCTCCCCACTTGCTGCTGGGCACCCCTGCCCTGTTTTGGCCAGCGCTGGTGCCCATGGGCATGCGCAGTGAGGTAAGCCTGAAGGCAGCCCTACCAGCCTCTGCCCCTCGGCCCAGGAGGCCTCCACCCTCCTCTCTGTCTCAGGGGCCATCAGTCTGATGTTCTCCTCCCCTTGCATCCTGTCCCTGAGTGCCCCAGAGCCAGGGGCGACACTCCAAATCACCCCTGCAGATTTAACCATCTATGTGATACAGCACCCCCAGAGGGAAGGGCAACTCCTTCAGCACCAGACATCACTCCTTCAGTGGGGGGGTCTTGGCAGGGGTGGGGGTCTCAGGGGAGAGCAGGGGGCATTTAGCAACCATTATGGGAGGACCTCATTGTTTTAACAACTGGTTGTTAAAACAGTGTGTACTGGGGAACGTATGCCAGGGAGAGCCCGTCCCACCTGCACGCTGCTTCTCCTCACTCCCCAGCTCCTGCACAGCATGGTGTTCACCCATCCAGCCATAGCGGAGCAGCTGGCCGGGCAGCGGAGCCCCCGAGGGCACCCAGAGGCCTCTGCAGATAAGAAGAGGAGCAGCAGCAGGGTCCACCGTGAGTGCCTGGGACTGGGGAGGGCCCAGGGAACCTTAGGCAGAGGAGGAGAGGACTGTCCTCTCTGAGCACATGTGTAAGGAGGCATGAGACAAGGGATAATGCAAGTCATTCATTCACCAAACACTTACTGAGTGCCAGCTATTTACTAGGCATGGAAGTTCAGAGATGAAAGTTGACCCCCAAGACACTCAGAAACTAGTGGGGAAGAGAAATGGAAGACAGTCCATGACCCATGCTGGGATTTGGGGGAGCACAAAGGAATGCAGAGAAAGAGCTGGGGCTTTGCAGACAAAGCCACACCTGAGCAGGTAAAGCCGGTGGAGAACGGAGAAAAACCAAGCAAGTGTAGCATATCTGAAGAGCTGCTGGTAGCCTACCAAGGTCAGAGAGTACGTTGGGGGATGGGAGTGGAAACAGGAGGAAGGGTGGGAGATGAGGTTGGCACAGCAGACAGGTGTCCAGTCATGGAAGGCCCCAGAAGTCATCCAAAGAGGATGGGTCTTTACCCCGTGGGCTGGAGGGACCCAGGAGGGAGATGCATGTTGAAATTTTCATTTTACAAAGATGACTGGAGTTGTATGTAGAGTTTGGGTAGGGAGACATACAAGTGGTGTTGGGAAGTTTGGGAGTTGGTTTAGGCAGGTGATGGGGACAGAGCTAAGGCAAGGGCTGCGGGTAGAGAAGGAGGTCCAGCTGCAGGGACAGCGGGAAGACAAAGTTCATGCATTCACACCCTGTTTCAGCAGGTGGTTGATAAGCTGCCATTTAATGTGCCAGCACTGTCTAAGGGGCAAGACTGCCTTTATAGAGCTTGTAGACAAGAGGGGATTTGCAAACATGTCAGATAACCATCTGACAAGTAGATACATAATTGTAACTGTGGTAACTGCTACAAAGAAGTTCAGGGTGCGGAGAGCATCTAGGGAGACTTCCTTGACAAAGTGCCATTTGAGCCGAGACCCAGAATGTACAAAGGCGTGAGTTTAGCTCCGAGGAAGGAAGGAGAGCGGACAGTGAGAACAGTGTGCTAAGGCCCCCGGAGGACCTAGGAAAGGTCCGCGTGGCAGCATATGGTCCGAGGGGGAAGAAATGGAAATGCAGGCAGAGGCCAGCTCTTCCAGGGCTGTAAGTGTCAAAATCAGATTTCCTGTGAAAAAAGATTACAGAGGCGCTAGAGCAATCCAAGCAAGGCTTTAAGCAGATGTCTAAGGCCTGCCCCTCCACTCCAGACAGTTTCTTGGAGTAAGGACCTTGACCTTAGCCCTCCCCCCGTGCGCTGGGGGCCCACAGGTCCCACCTCCCAGAGAATGCAGGGTGCCTGGCTCCACCGAGAGTGGAGCTGAGGCTGTGGGGGTGGGGCGGCGCGAGGCCTGCTGGGACTCGCTTGGCCAAGGTCTGGCCGCCTGGAGCTAAACAGCACCTGAACAGCCCTCCCTGTTCCTCCGCCTCCACCTGCCCCCTCCCAGCTCTGGGAATGCCGTAGGCACAGAGCTTCTCCCTTTGGGAAACTACAAGGAAACACAGTGTTCCCGGCACGCTGTAGCTCAGAAAGAGCTCTTTTCACCTCCCTGGCCTCTGCGGTGTGCACACATGCTCTGCCTGCGCATGGACCCGGAGCGTTTAGGTCACTGGAAGGCTGGTAGCAGCCCCAGGCTCCTTCTGGATTGGAATTCCAGAGGCTGTGCAGGCCCCTCACCTCCACTTCCACTCAGAGCATCTGGTGCCAAGAAAAGGAAGCTGCTTCTGGGCAGACAAGTGCCCGGGATTATTGAGCCAAAGGCAGGAGGCCGCAGGGCTGGTGCTGGGAAGGGCAAGAGAGAGAGGCGGGACTCTTGGAACTGTCTCGTCCACATGCTACTCAGTCAGGTCTCCCAGGGGAGACGTGGCCCTGATCTCAGAAGCTTCCTAGGACACAAACTTCTAGGGCGCAGAAAGTCTCCACTTCATGTAAGGACCCGAGGGAAAAGCCAGTGACCAGGAGAGGGCACCCCCTGGCAGGGGTCTCCATGCTTTTTCTGATGGAGGATTATTTTTACTCTTTTTCCACTTTGTAGATCCAACATCAGGAATATTGTTCCTTCCAAATAAATCAGATGTATTAAGTAAGAACTAATCTGTTGTACCAGTTTTTATTAACTCCATCCCCACTGACGTGACCACGTTGGTACTTGGTCTCCAGCTAAACGATGCGGCCTTGCTAAGAAAAATGTGGAAATGGAATTAGGCTTTTTGAAATACAAGAAGTGGTGGGAAGTTCTGTATAATCATCCCCAGAGACCCCAGGCTGGGGGCCCCTGCTCTAGGATCCTGGCAGGGTGGAAGCGGGAAAGAGGGTGGTTTGGAAGGAATGGAAGGACGGAAGGCTTCTTGGAGGAGGAGAGCTATGGGCCAGAGCGAGCTGGAGGAGGAAAGACTGGGGCTCATTCCACATGCCCTGGGCCTCCCAGCCTCACAGGCCCCTTCGTACTGATGGCGTCACTTGATCTTAACTAGGAGAGGGGATTTTATGGATGAAGAAACTGAGGCCTGAGAATTTAAGTGACAAGCCCAGGTCCACACAACCAGTTCTCTGCCCAGCAAGAACTGGAGTCCTTTGCTGAGGGACAGAAGCAGTGGAGAATGGATTTGTTGAATGATGGCAGAAAAATATCTTCATTTATTCATTCAACACATTTTTATTGAGCAATTAATATGCACTAGGCTGGGTTGGATCCAGGGGAGAAAAAAACAGTTCCTGCCCGCGCGGAGCGTTAAACAAATAATAATACAAATAACTACCTGATTCTTACCAAGCAACCCCGGAGGGATTAATGGGAAGTGATGATACAGTAGATAGCTCGGGCGTCTCACCCGGGCTGGGGGTCTCCAGAGGTTTCAGGAAATGACATTTATGATCAGAGCAGGGGAGAGAAAGTTTCGAGCAGGAGGAAAAAGAAATGAGAAATGGGAGGAGAAAGGGGACGTCTCCGAGTGGTGGGGCTCGCTCTTGACCCTCTTTCTCTCTCTTTTCCCTAGGACTTGGCTCTTTCCCAGCCCCATGCTGGTTTGGCCCTTGCTGCCATTTGGGGAACCTCCAAGATGAGACGCCCGGTTTTGCCCCCTTCATCCCCCCCCTCCCACCGCCTCACCCCTCTGACTGGACCCGCTTCTCAAGGCCCTTCCTGCCCTCTCTCCCCATAGAGCAGCAATTCCCAGGGTCCTCCAAGCCGGACACCTGGCTGTTAGGGCCAGGATGCCCCCCAGGAGCCCAGCATCTTCCAGGACTCCCCCTGATGGCTGAGCTGGGACAGGGGGCTGGTGAGAGGCTCAGGCTCTTGTCCCTTAGGCCCGAGGGGCTGGAGCTAAAGCCTGATCCCATGACAGGGGCAAAGGGACACCTGGTTCGCAGGGAGGGCTTCCCCTCAGAAACACATGGACCCAAAACTGGGGAGGAAAGTCCTGCGTCCCCCAGTCTGGAGAACTTCAAAGGAGTGTGGCCCTTGGACCCTCCCTAATCAAGAAGGAAGAGGTAAAGTGGGGGGGCTCCCCCAAACTCCATCTCTCCTCTTGTCTATCTCCCTTCTGGCTTTGCACCTTCCCCTGGCTGGAAACAGATTTAAAATGCAGGAGGATTTGAAGGGATGGAGTTGGACCCAAGGAGGTGAGAAGGGGTGGTGGACCCTTCCCCTCCTGCCAAATTGCTAATCAGATTAAGAAGACATTCTTAACCTCACCTTTTTTTGTGGAAGACAAGAAGAAGGTCTCCATCCTTTGAAGCAGTCCATCCCTGCCCTCATGAAGGGAAAATTAAGAGTCTGGTCTGGGGAGGGGTCAGGAGTTCATTTGTTCCCTGAGTGCCAGAGCAAGTTCTTTGTTCTCTGGGGCCCATGTCCCTCATCCCAGGGAAGGTCTCCTGTCTCTCTCCTGCCCCTCCATGCGTTTCTCTCCCATCCTCCCATCCCTCTGGTTTCTGTGACCCTGGGAGCGCCTATCCCATGCACGCACTTCCTTCTATCTGCATTTCCCCAGGTCCAAGCAAATGGGGTGGGGGGGACTGGCCCCCCAGCCCCATAACACTCCACTGCTGTCCATGAATAAAATGCCCTTGGCAAACTGCTCTCCTGGCTACACATGGCCTGCCTGGTGTGCCTGCTGCCCTCTGATCTGCTGTGATGCTAGCCACCACGGAGGCTTCACAGGGAAGCGGCGAGGGGCTTGGCTGGAGGGCCTGAGGCCTGGAGCAGAAGGGGGAATGGAGCCAGCCAGTGTCCTCCATCCCGCTGCCATCATCTCCCAGAGAGAAAGGCAGAAAAACGCCGTGGTGGAGCTGCTGCCCGGGGCGTGAACAAAGAACTTAAGAGCAGAGCAGGGGTCTTTATAGAAGGGTGCTCAGACCCCTGTGGGTCCCTGAGAAGATCTAAGGGGCAGGGGATGGAGGAGGGCCTTGGCAGGGGTCTCTCCTCCTCTCTCCCCAGGCCCTAAGAATGACAGGAGGCACCCATGGAGCATCTGGTGGCTGCAGGAGGGGTGACACGTGAGAGATGGGGTCTTTACTCAGCCAAGGAACTGCAGCCTAGAGACCAAGGTGACTGGACCATATCACTCTCCTATCTCTAGGCTAATTACAGGCTTAAGATTCGTCTCCACTCCCTTTCTGTGATGTGGAGTGGGGACGAAGGAGGCACAGAGGATCCTTTCGCCCATCATTTACCCCTGTCCCTCATCCAAGAAATAGGTGTGCACCCCTCTCAGGGCTCCCCGTGCATTTGGCTTTCTGCCACCTCTCAGTCCTTCTTGTGGCAGACGTGTCGTTGTCATGAATGGGATGGAGGAGAAGAGTCTCAGACTGGGGCAGGGTTAGGCTCTCACCGCACAGAAAGGGTGAGATGAGCCAGGAACCCAGCCCTGGGGTCTCCAAGCTGGGTACCGGCCAGGAGAAAGGATCTCTGAGTGTTCCTTATCCCTATCTCCCTCCCTCACCCCAGATGCCCAAGAAAGGGGGGCCTAGAGTCTCTCTCCCGGGAGATCCCAGGGGCTGTAGTGAAAACTGCTTCTCTCTGCTTCCAAAACCGCAGGCCCTTCCCCAGCCCTGCAGGAAGGACAGACCCCCAGGCCGGGGCTTTCCTGCCACTGTGCCCAGTTTGGGAAGACAAAGGGCCAGTGTTGTCTGCTCCGGCACAAGGAATTGAATCGCACTGTCCTGGGGCTGGGGCCCTGTGCTGAGAGGCCAACCAGGGACAGAATCCCACAGTGGGGACCCCAATGTGGCCTCCACCTGAGCCCTCCTCCTCTGCAGTGATTTGCAGTTGCTGTGACCCCCATGTTTCGGGCAATGAACAATGATTTGTGGCTGCTATCCTAAAACTTCCCTTTGGGGACAGAAGAATCCAGGGGAGTGAAAGCCCAGCTCCAGAGGAAAACTAGCAGGAAGTGCGCTCTGCATTTCAGACAAGATTCAAGGAGAGCAGATTTCTCAACCTTGCCACTATGGGAACATTTGGGGCTGCATAATATTTTACTGTGCAGAGCTGTTCTACACCTTCCACGATGTTTAGTACATGCTGGCCTCTATTTACCAGTAGTACCCTCCCCTGCCCAACATTGTGAAGTGTCCTCTGGAGGAAGAAATGGTTCCTGGTGGAGAATCAGTTAAGTAGAGAACGGGCTTCAGAAGTTCAGACCTTCTGGCAAAGGGGACCCAGGCTCCGTCCGCACAGTGGCCGCTTTCCACATTGCAAGAGCGGCCTCTGGTGGCCAGAGTCGATACCAGCGATCAGAAGGGCTCAGAGCTCTGGGCTAGGCTGGGTGGGAAGATCTTGGAGCTTGAAGGGGTGATGTGTGTGCTTGGGAGCTTTCTAAAGGGAGGCAAGGAGTTTCAGGATGAAAACGTTCTGTAAGACCCTTCCCATTTCAACCTCCCTTTGCAAATCACAGACTTCCCGCCAAAGGATCCATAAGTCTAATATAATTCCCCTGAAACAATGGGTGCAGCCCTCAAGCCTAGACATCCCACCCTCGGGCGGTCTGTGGCCGCCAGCCTCACCTGGGAGGAGCATAGCGTGGACACTCGGCCTTCCTCTAGGAGCAGTGGGAGCCACGACAAGCCGGCCAAGCCAGCTCACCAGCCCCCACTACCCCGGGGCCCTCCGTTCTGTCATGCCCAAGACAGGGGGACAGACCACCCTTGGGTTCAAGCAGCATTTTAGGGGGTCAGACTCCCAGGCTTCATGACTCTTTCACTGTTAGGAGGCAGAAGAGACCTTTGATATTGTCAAGTTCAACAACCTTGTTTTACAGGCTGAGAGAGAGGAAGGGACTTGTTCAAAAATCATGCACATACAAGAGCCCGATTGAGAATATAAATTTCCTATTAATGTTAATGTCATCGCTTGGGTTGAGAGTGTCAGAGTCCCTTAACATTCCTCAGCAATAACAGTATGTTTATATATACAAGAGGGAACTTTTAAGTTATTCCTGTGTTATTTTTAATAGGACCATAGTAGCAAACATTTCCCTTTTTGTGTACATTTTGATCCTTGCCTACATATCTGCTGCTATCTCTGTCTGATGTGCATTGGCATTGTGTCCCCATACAGCCGGTGTTCTCGGTAGGACAGCACACCCTTGCTCCGTGGGAGGTGTTTTGTCCCTAGAACCCTTAGCTTAGCATATGGAAGAGGCTTTGGAGATTTAAAAACAAAAACACAGCAAATCATTTGCTGCCCTGAATGTTTGATGGCAGTGAGGATAATCCCTGCCCTCTGCCCTTTTTTCCTAATTAGGACCCTGAACAGGAGGGGAGAAAAACTCAAGTATCATATACGTTTTATGCACACACACATACCTGCACGACTCAGCACACATTTCTAAAGGGCCTGCTATGTACTAAACGCTGTGCTGCCAGGCACTGAGGTTCAAAGCTCCTGCCCTCAGGATGCTTTCACAGACAGCGTGGCAGAAGTCAGGCAGCGCCGAGGAAGTAGGCACATGAGCCGGAGGGAGACGCAGGGTCTGGGCAGTCACGGCAGGGGACTGGGTTAGGAGCTGAGGTTTCTTCATAAAATGTTCAACACCTAGTTTAAACATAAATTTTGTTGAGTAGGCACCCTGCTTTAAAATAGCGAAAAGTAAATCTTAAGAAGCCATTTCTAATCCCTAAGGACAGAAAGCCAGGCAGTATGTCCCTATTATGATCGCTATCAAAATACATACACAATTCTGTGTCTGAGGATTACTTCATAAACACTTCCCCACGCATTTATATGTTGATCCTCCTAACGGCAGCAGCGTCCTGTCACGTTGATAACAGCATATTTTTAACCACTACAGTTATGGTGGTGGTCTTTAAGGTTGTTTCTTGTTATTTGCTTTGTAAATAAAATAGTTTCAAAACCTTTGTCCTTCATTATAATCTTTTTTTTTTCTTTCCTTAATTGCTTGAGATACATTCTCAGGAGTGAAATAAGTGGCTCAAAAATTATGACATTTTAATGGCTCTAGATACCTATTGCCCAACTGTTCCTCCAAAAGGATTATGGTGTTTTTAAAAGCCACATTCATGCACCACTTACTGTGAGCCAGCTGTGTCACAGCTGCTTTAGGGACATCAGCTCGTCTAATGCCACAATAACTTTAGGAAGGAGGCATCATTATCACCCCATTTTACAGACTGAGACACTGAGGCACAGAGAAGTAAAACCTGCTCAAGGCCATGTTCTTGGCAGAGGGCAGGGCCGAGGCTCAGGTAAGCAACCGGCTCCATAGCCTGGGCCTCATGCCCCGGCTCCAGTGCCAAGTGCCAAGCACAAGTTCTCCTGGAATCTCAGCAGCCAGGGCCTTTCCCTGCCTCTTCCCACTTTTATTTGTGAGAGTAAACTGTTACATCATTGCGGCATCTTTTGTATGCCTTTAGTAAAGGGCGAGGGAGACTGATCATCTCTATGCTGGTTGCAATTTACAGAGGCTCGAGCCAGTCAGGACAACCGGCAGGGGCACACCCATGGGCACGGCAGTAACCACCTGGAGGGTTCAGCCTGAGGAAAGCAAGCGATGGGTGACATCTGTCTTCGGGCCAGTGGCTTTGCCTCCGAATGGGGCGGGACCCAAACAGCACAGTTGCCGAGGACCATTGCCAGGAACTTAGAAATGCCCGTCATTCCTAATCAGTTCAGCCCATCTATATTCAGTTGAGGGGTCAAAGGTCCCCAAGAATCAGTTGTCTTGAGTCACTAGGAAGAGCAAAACCTGAGTATTGGTCCCTGTGTAATCAATCCCACTGCCCTCCCCTCCCCCTCCCCTGCTCCAGCCCTGTTTTCCAGTCCTGGCAATGGGTTGTCTCCCCAGTGATGTAACCCCTCCCACCTGCACCAAAGAAAGAAAGTCGGGCAGGGGTCAACTCTTTGTGCCAATGGCGTTAATTGACTACGTCTGCAACTAGGGAGCACATAGTTGAGAAGGATTCCATGGTTCCTTTAAGGGCTTAGGAAGGGGAGTAGTGCCATGTTTTTCTCCGTGA